ATCTAGTCCGAAGTCATCTGCCATAGTAGTTGTCATGATTCCCAGCATCAGACAGTGGACTTGGTACATTGACTTCACTTGTCTCTTTGGCGAGTTCTTAGCTTGGTGCGGCGAATGGCAAAACTCACTGATAATGTCTGCGAAACGTTTGAGATTGTACCAAGTCCCCTATCTGATGCTGGGAATCATGACAACTACTATGGCAGACGACTTCCGACTAGATGCGTTCTACTAAGTCGCTCCGACAACAAGACCAAGTTGCGACAACGAGGTCAACCCATTTCTCCTTTTACCAAGTTCATCATTCATTATCATTTTATGTAACACATAAAAAGCTCTTCTAAAATGTTAATTCACCCTCGCATCTTGTTGGACCAGCCCTAATCTGGTCGTCATGGCTGCAAACATCGTGAACTGTCAACTGGTGCCTTTTTCCAACGCCTCGGGCTTCGGCGTTCACTGGAAATGGGACAAGCCGCCGCCAAGCAGTGCCATACTCATCGAGTTCGCCTACTCTCGACTGCCTCATCCTCGTCCAAACATCTCTTTCCTCTCAGGTCCCGATGTCCTTGGCCATTCGCGACAGCAACTTCACCGAGTCTGGATTGAGCCCAGCCAACCGGCCCCATATTTCCCTTTGGTTGGCCTCGACTCTGACACCAATTACTGCGTTTGCCTCTCCGCCACATTGAACAACTCCGCAGAGCCGACCAGCCTGCCCTTGATCACTTGTCCTCGCCAATTTACCGCCAGCACCAGCACGACCGGTGTCTGTCGGTCTGGCTGGACCACACTTTCTGACGCCACTTCTGAAGGCGTCACCACTGCCACGCAGACCTCGGAAAGCACCGGCCTCCGAGCGAACAATGTGACTGGAGTCACTCTTGGCAGTTCTCTTGGCGCCTTCATCACACTCCTATTGATAATTGTACTCGTTTTTCTCAGTCAACGAGGTGAAATCGAGTGTACATGCAATCGAAATCGCACGAAAAAGGTTACAAACCCGATTTTAGCCAGACGCATTTCAATCGCTGAGACTGGCGTTAGTGGCGCTCGTGGAAATGGCCACTTCAGGAATGATGAGTACAACGAGGACCACGAGGATCCCGAGGAGGCTAGACTGAGTTGGCAGGTGATGAATAAAGGCGAGAATGGTCCCCGAGGCCAAGGGTCACAACAGGCGAATTGCCGCAATCGGGGCTATCTCCACAACCTCCACTCGTCTCGGCCAGCGCCCACATGTCGACGCTTGAGCCACGCCAGAATGAGTATCACTGATTTCATAGATCCAGACGCAGCGGCCAGGCAACCGCGGAGGAGGCTTCCTTCCCTTCATAGCAAGCGTCGTCTCGGCGACAAAAGTGATATCGCTACCTCCAATAGTACAAGTAGCAGATCCTCATCAGCCAACTCTTCCGTCTCTTCTCATCACGAACCGAAATATTACAGCGAGGTGAAGAGGGCGCTCCACACTGACAAATCCGGTCTGCAGGCCAATGAGTCTGAGGTTAAGGTGAAATTTAGAATTTTTATAAATTCATTTATCTCACGGTGCAAACGTTACGAACAGGAATTTTATCTGTTGCTTCCTGTCAGATAATAATTTTATTCATAAAATGCCTTCTAACAATTGATTTACACATTATGACCAATAAGTACTTAGTCATCCTAGGTCGTTTAGGATGATGTAGAGTCTGCAATTGTGCAATTTTTTCCACAAAGGAACAAGTGGGCCTCATTTTTCAGTTGGTCTTCACTTAACATTGCCTCGCAAAAGGCCATCTCATCCAGGCTGGACTGTAGTTTCAACCTGAACTCTTGAGGGATTCGATATCGGGTCGTGAGTATTGTGGCCATACTACCACTCCATCTCACGGCCACAGGCACCAGTGGGTCATAGGACGGATGCCACATTCAAGGCAAGCTAATCAGCTGCTAACTCCCATTATTTTGGGACAGACTTTGCTTGCCGTGAAATTCACATCTGCTCCGTTATGCAGAGGTAATAGTAACATGTCGAAACTATACGCTAGATTTTCGTTGGAGAGCTGATGAAACTTAGGCGAGATCAAAACTGCAGTCCAGCCCAAACAAGTACACCTTTCTGGAAGCAACGGTCAGTGGAATTTAATATATTGGATGAATTTACCCTATTTAGTTGAGGAGATAGGTAATTGTTAGTTGAAATTTTCCACAATGATGTAAATAGATACTACTTTTCCACTAAATTTGACACAGCTTTGCCTTCCAAAATAAATTCTCATCTTGGGTGGACTGAAATTTCCGCCTCGCCTAGGTCTCCCTAGCAGCCCAAGCGGGATTGGAACCCGGGTAATTATAAAGTAGCATATAAGCTAGCCACGTTAACTATCCTGCCACATTGCCCCGAGTATCCTTGAGTCCCTGGGTATATGTACATTCTGACGAAGGTCTGGTATCCTCCCATATCACATTCTGTAGTCCAAAGATAGATAAGCAAAGTTGTATTTGTTAAGGCAATGGACTACACTACTTATTTTTCTCTTATAAGTAGATTTTTTGAAAATACCTATAGATCATATATATATGAGATGCATTCCCCCAAGTTCATTAAGATGATGAAGGATTGGTGGTAAATTTTTCTCCACTGATATGAGTAGACCTTACGTTTCCATTGCATAATACCATAACCAAATAGTGTGAATACATCTTGTACATGTGATCTAAAGATAGTTTCAAACCTACTTGTAAACGACAGAAATGTAATGTAGTCGATTGTCTTAGCAAATGCAACTTTGCTTCATTGACAATCCTATCACAGAATGTGATATGGGAGGATAGCAGAACTTCCCAAAAATTCACCATTTCCCCTGTAAACCTATAGTATTCATAGTAGTGTGATGTAATGTCTAACGAAGTGAGATTATGCTTGATACATTCCCAGTTGATTTTTCGGCAACATTGTCGGCATTGGCTGCCAGTCTTGGTACCAGGCCACAATTTATTAAGGAGACAAGTGAAGTCAATCTTCAGATCAACTTTATGCTGAACGATTTGCAAACACTCCTGTCCATTCGCCTACTCCCTATCCTTTTATCTTACTTCATACATATCACAACTTTTGACTTGTTTAAATTTGACTTCTCTGGACGTGTACCCCTTTTGGAGAGGTTGGCGGGGGCGTTCATTAAGGTTTAATGGCTGGGATTGCATAGTCACACATATCTGTTTTGGTTGATGAACTTGACATGCCTGTTGAACGAG